AACGGCCGTCATAGATGAACGTCAGTGTGCGACACGCAAAACGAATCACGGCGTCGTAAGTTCTACGCAGCGACGTTATCACGCGTCACTGATCACGCAGACATTTCTCTCTCACGACGAAGTGACGCAAAGCGAAAAGTGGCCATCCGAAGTTATAAACATTTGGAATACAGATCGGCAGGCAAATAAAGTCAATAATTTGAATGAAAAAAAGTATTGATTGATATGAAACCGAGTTTATCGCGAGGAGAAAGGCTTCAATGTATTATATTCCAAGTTTGGCTTCAATTGAACAATAAACGGCGGAGAAATTGTTCATAATATAGTGAAATCATCCGAAGTTACCTGCTTTTACGGTAGTGCTTCCTGAGCTGTAGGTATTTTCACAATCTGTTTCTTTATTTTTCCTCAATTGTATACTTCGTTGCTCTATTTCTTGTTCATCACTTTCATCAGTACTAATTTTAGACAAGTTTCCAAACATTTGAGCCCTGATGTCAATTTTTTCTTTTTCTCTTGTAGTTTCATTTGGTGTGCTCTGTCCATCATTAGGTTTCATTTCATCTAGTTTGTTCTTCATTTTTGTATGGTTCTGTTTTGTTTCAATATCATCAATTGATTTTTCTTTAAGGCTTGATAAACTGTATTCAGTGGATGATTCAATCACTACCAGTACGTCTTTTTCTTTACTTGCCGAATCAGGGTATTCGGAGGAATTTCCCTGCAGCACTGCATTTTCTTCATTTATTGAATTGTCATACTCGGTTGACGATTCATTTACTACATCATTCTTTTCGTTATTTTCGCTAATCTTCATACTACTATTCATTGTTTGGGTCTTTTCTTGATTTTTTTGTTTTTCATTGAAGTTTCTATATCTTTCTAATTTTGGGATATAGTACTCACAATTTTCCATCATGTGGTCAGTACTCCCACATATTCGACATGTTGGTTTTTGTCCATAATATTTTACGAACAGTGAATATCCTTTGATTTTGACATAGCTTTTCATAGGATTAGCTATTATGTCAGACTTTTTCATGAGAAATCTTCTCATACCATTTTTCATTCCTTTTCCATCTTCAACTTGTTCAATTTCCTCACATATATGTCCACAAATTTGTTGAAATCTTTCTTTTATACAATTATTCGTTACTGGCAGTGGTACTCCGTGTACGGTTATCACCACGTTTTCTGTCACATACAATCTATGAAATGGTGAGTTTTGGTGTTGTTTTTTCAAATCCCACAATTTTTTATCAGTCTCTACTGCAATTTTTCTCGATTTAAATGTTATATCTATTGTTATTCTTGATGTTACTACAAATCCGTCTACGTCTTTGAACTCGATTTCTGTTTTTTCAAAAAATGCCCATATGTCAGGTCTACGTATTCCGTTTGGCATTGTTTCCTCCATAAACCTGACGTACATGCACTTTGAACGATCAAGTGAATTCCTTTCTTCCTGGTCTTTTTCTCTGCTCGCTTTCTCAGCCCATGTCAGTACTTTTGTTGTCATCTTTTCACAATTCAATACCGATATTTGATTTAGTTACTTAATCAAACAGCTTATAATCTTAATCAAATAGCGAATATTGCTGTATTGACGTGCAAGCATTGTCAAAACAGTTTCTCTACCAATGGACTGTGGGTCCTGAGGTCGTCGTAGTATTTGTTATTATTATTATTATTATTATTATTATTAAATACTTTAATCTCGATATGATGTAATAGTATTATAAATAGGCACGCCGCCCATCTACTTACTGCTTAGAACCGCGGAACGGGAAGCTAGGAGCAATTTGACCTTTGTGTGCGGCGAAGAGGAAAGGTGAATATGTACAGCAGAAATCCTAATGGACCTTTCCCCGAGCATCGACTTCCTTGTTTACTTCGTGACATTGGCCAAGATGCAAAAGTGACGTAACAATGCCCCCTTTTCGCATCCGCCCAGACACTTTTCTCACTCAGACAGATTTTCAAGCGTGATTGTAAACATTACCTCGTTTTCGCGTTTCTGAACTCTATTCGTTAGTTTTCAGTTGTGTTTTGGGAACTTAAATAAAAATCAGATAATTCAATGGTAAGGCAAGTATATAGCAGTTTAGTGCTATAGCACAGTATGGATCAGAATTCGTTGCACGAAAGGACTGGTATAAAGTATATTTGCTAAGGGCCTACGGGTTACCATTTCGAGAAAAACTGGCGGGCCGATTGGGACAAAATTTGGCATGTAGGTCGGGGACAGTGTCGGTATAACGCAGAAAATTTTTGGGAACGATCGGGCCAGAGGAAAAGGGCCAAAACGGGCTTTTAGGGGCTCAAGGCTGTTTATTGGTCAATCAGCTGTCAATCAAGTCACGCTACAGTGATTTTGGTGTTTAGAGGCCGTTTAGCTTCGTTTCCGGGGCCAGAAAGCGTTTGCCCGAGTATTGGGAATTTATACAAGTACTATTGGGGGTGGGGGCACTGCCACCACCCCCCCAGTGGTGAGAAAACGTGTGAAAAGCCACGCCCACTTAAGCAATAGGGTTTTGGGGCGATTAGGAGCACTTGGAATAGGTTTTTGGGCAAATTGATGCATAAATATCGAAGGGACTAATTAATAGAATATATTACCACCCGAACTTTGGGGATTCCCCTTCCCCGTAACGGTCCAGTGAGTTCGGAATGTTGCGCTTAAGATTTGAGATATTGAGAGAAAAAAATACATAGGTAGGTTGAGAAAAATTAGTTTAATACTTTTTTCAAATAATTTTTTTCCTCCCATGCCTCCGTCACGGTCTAGTGATTTTGGCCTTTAGCCGGCTTCAGAGAGGTCTTATCAAGAATCTGAAGGCATGGGCATGATCGGAAAAATCATTCGAATCAGTTTTGGGTAGAATTTTTTTTCTCCCACATGTCAGTCACGCTCCAGTGATTTTAGGTCATATCTCGAGAATGGTAATAGATGGGGATGTAATATTTGGGCCATACAAGGTATATAAAGTGAAGATAATGACAAAAAAATTTCGTCACGGTTGAGTGAACACGGACCCTAAAATTGATAAAAATCGATTTCCATTAAGAGTGATCAGTTTATGACGTATTATTTAAACTACTTAATGGACTAAAGTGGCTGGGGGCAGTGCGCTGGACGAATTTCCGCCATTCGTCCGGCGCAACGACCCCGGTGCAACCATCAAATTCATTATATAACATCCGCTTTTTTATACTCAAATCTTTTCCTTACATTTCCCTCGCGGGTAGCGTAGCGACCTTCCCCTGGATGATCACTCTGTCTTTCTAGGAGTTTTAATTTAATTGCAGTAATAAAAATTAGTGTAGAAATAGCTGGGATAGACTAGCCTGAAATTCTTTACCGGTACTTTTAAAAAACAGATTGTTGTATGCGATGAATCATAATGATTGTATGAAACACATACCCCATTTTAAAGACGCCAACTCGCAAAAGCACTCTTAAAATAGCCTTGACAATTTTGCAATGGTAAAGCATAGGGATAATTTTCCGAGGGTCAAAGGTCGGGGAAAAGTCCATAGGAACTAGGAACTTCTTCCGCCCAAGAGGCGCAAGATTTAATCATTAAATAATTAAGTTATCTCAAGTTTTTTTATACAAAGAAGTGGGTCAATATTATCATCCAAAATCATGTTAGCAGGGAGTGTGGACCTCATCTCTGCTGTTCCGAGTTCAAAGACTGGTTGGGAGTGTTCTTTCTATTTCTGCGTGACATATTATGTTTAGAAGATATCCTGGCGTGCTCTCGCCAAAAATGTTTGGTCGCCAGTTGTGCGACAACTTCACGATCCCGAGATAGCCATGGCGACCAATTTAGTCATAATTTTGGTCCCTTTCCCACGGAACACTTGGAAGATGCTCGCGGAACACTAGTGTTCCGCGGAACACAGTTTGGGAAACGCTGATGGAGTAAGAGCGCTTTTTTGGGGGATCCCCTAACTTACGATCGCTAAGTCTTCGGTCTCTGACCGATATTCTCGTTTTATTGTTATGCTGATTACGGAGTCGAAATAGACTTACACCTAATTTCAATTTTTGTTTATAATTCTTTGAATGAAATTCTTGTTTAGAGCTGCTGTTTTTTTGTGCCCAATTTTTCCTGGTGCGAAATTGGCCCCGCCTTTCAGTTCTCAGTCTCACGTGTTCCCCAGTTCATGTACCGGTACTGGTATTATTTACATTCTTTGGTGCTTACCAGTAGATTGAGTACCGGTACAGTGAGTTGAAAGTAAAGGAAGTTAGATTGTCTTTATTTAGGTTTGTCTATATACATCAATCAATTTTATTTCGGTCGCTCTGGTATAAAACAAAACAACAACAACACAACATGTTTGCATAACGTAGACAGCGAAAAAGAAAATCCTAGTAGCATGATAGGTTTTCGAATAGGTTTTCAACTAATCGAAACTCAATACATGCGATTGTTTTCCAAAAAAAAAATTGTATAAAAAAAAAATTGACAATATAATTGGCTTAAAAAAAATATATTTCAATAATTCCATATTGGCTCTGGAATTTAATTTGGCAAAAAAAAAGGTCGGTACGGTGCGGGTAGTGTCGTAGTGATATTCATTTAAATTAAATGACACAAAAGATAAATTTGCGATGGACTAATCTTTTTTGAAAAATGTGTACAGTTTCAAAGTGGTTTGTACCGGGTATCGGTACCGGTACCGTACCTGAGATGTCAAGACCAAATTTTAGTGAATTCCTTTCATATCTTCAGATTTCGGTTTAACGCATGGCTGCATCCTGCATGGTGGACTAATAAATTACTAAAGTTTAGTGCTGGGAATGGTTAACCGATTTCAGGTGGTTAAAGGTTAGTCGGTTACCGGTACAATCTATTTTGAACGTTATCGTAATGTAGACTAATTCTTCTTATAACTGTATAAGCAGAAACATTTTCATAAGTCTGTAGGTACGGTAACATTGACAGATTTAGAAGAAATATAGAAAGTTCGAGAGTAAATCAGCCTTTCGAAAATAAAGTTTATGCAAAGTACTACCGTATTACAGTATTATAAATGTTAAATTTAATATATTTTGCTGCTGTCAAAATTTCTAATTTTCTTTCATTTGCTATATGTCAAAATAGGCTAGACAAATCGAATTATAGAAATTATATAACCTATAGGAAATCATGAAACTTACTCTAATATGAAAACTGAATGTTTTGTGTGAAATGGAAGAATATCAGAATATTATTACATACACTCATTGATTGAATCATAATTATACAAACAATCTGAGATATCAGCATCGATAACCGATGGCTGCCATGGCTACTTCAAGAAATCAAGTTCTTCTTGGTGTTCTGGATGAAAAAATTGGAACAACAACAATTTCATTAAATGTAAACAGAGTTGGTGGAAGAGTCAATCTAAATCAGTCAAACAATGCACAAGTTAACACAATATATATTAGAACTTAAGCAGTTTTCGCATCGCGTTCCTTTCGGTTGCCAAGTCATCAACCATTGAGCTGCAACAATACTTTGCTAGAATTTTAATTGCGGATATTTACACCTCATAGGTCATAATTAGGTGTGCTCTGTCCATCATTAGGTTTCATTTCATCTAGTTTGTTCTTCATTTTTGTATGGTTCTGGGCTTTTCGCATCCGCCCAGACACTTTTCTCACTCAGACAGATTTTCAAGCGTGATTGTAAACATTACCTCGTTTTCGCGTTTCTGAACTCTATTCGTTAGTTTTCAGTTGTGTTTTGGGAACTTAAATAAAAATCAGATAATTCAATGATCACTCTGTCTTTCTAGGAGTTTTAATTTAATTGCAGTAATAAAAATTAGTGTAGAAATAGCTGGGATAGACTAGCCTGAAATTCTTTACCGGTACTTTTAAAAAACAGATTGTTGTATGCGATGAATCATAATGATTGTATGAAACACATACCCCATTTTAAAGACGCCAACTCGCAAAAGCACTCTTAAAATAGCCTTGACAATTTTGCAATGGTAAAGCATAGGGATAATTTTCCGAGGGTCAAAGGTCGGGGAAAAGTCCATAGGAACTAGGAACTTCTTCCGCCCAAGAGGCGCAAGATTTAATCATTAAATAATTAAGTTATCTCAAGTTTTTTTATACAAAGAAGTGGGTCAATATTATCATCCAAAATCATGTTAGCAGGGAGTGTGGACCTCATCTCTGCTGTTCCGAGTTCAAAGACTGGTTGGGAGTGTTCTTTCTATTTCTGCGTGACATATTATGTTTAGAAGATATCCTGGCGTGCTCTCGCCAAAAATGTTTGGTCGCCAGTTGTGCGACAACTTCACGATCCCGAGATAGCCATGGCGACCAATTTAGTCATAATTTTGGTCCCTTTCCCACGGAACACTTGGAAGATGCTCGCGGAACACTAGTGTTCCGCGGAACACAGTTTGGGAAACGCTGATGGAGTAAGAGCGCTTTTTTGGGGGATCCCCTAACTTACGATCGCTAAGTCTTCGGTCTCTGACCGATATTCTCGTTTTATTGTTATGCTGATTACGGAGTCGAAATAGACTTACACCTAATTTCAATTTTTGTTTATAATTCTTTGAATGAAATTCTTGTTTAGAGCTGCTGTTTTTTTGTGCCCAATTTTTCCTGGTGCGAAATTGGCCCCGCCTTTCAGTTCTCAGTCTCACGTGTTCCCCAGTTCATGTACCGGTACTGGTATTATTTACATTCTTTGGTGCTTACCAGTAGATTGAGTACCGGTACAGTGAGTTGAAAGTAAAGGAAGTTAGATTGTCTTTATTTAGGTTTGTCTATATACATCAATCAATTTTATTTCGGTCGCTCTGGTATAAAACAAAACAACAACAACACAACATGTTTGCATAACGTAGACAGCGAAAAAGAAAATCCTAGTAGCATGATAGGTTTTCGAATAGGTTTTCAACTAATCGAAACTCAATACATGCGATTGTTTTCCAAAAAAAAAATTGTATAAAAAAAAAATTGACAATATAATTGGCTTAAAAAAAATATATTTCAATAATTCCATATTGGCTCTGGAATTTAATTTGGCAAAAAAAAAGGTCGGTACGGTGCGGGTAGTGTCGTAGTGATATTCATTTAAATTAAATGACACAAAAGATAAATTTGCGATGGACTAATCTTTTTTGAAAAATGTGTACAGTTTCAAAGTGGTTTGTACCGGGTATCGGTACCGTACCTGAGATGTCAAGACCAAATTTTAGTGAATTCCTTTCATATCTTCAGATTTCGGTTTAACGCATGGCTGCATCCTGCATGGTGGACTAATAAATTACTAAAGTTTAGTGCTGGGAATGGTTAACCGATTTCAGGTGGTTAAAGGTTAGTCGGTTACCGGTACAATCTATTTTGAACGTTATCGTAATGTAGACTAATTCTTCTTATAACTGTATAAGCAGAAACATTTTCATAAGTCTGTAGGTACGGTAACATTGACAGATTTAGAAGAAATATAGAAAGTTCGAGAGTAAATCAGCCTTTCGAAAATAAAGTTTATGCAAAGTACTACCGTATTACAGTATTATAAATGTTAAATTTAATATATTTTGCTGCTGTCAAAATTTCTAATTTTCTTTCATTTGCTATATGTCAAAATAGGCTAGACAAATCGAATTATAGAAATTATATAACCTATAGGAAATCATGAAACTTACTCTAATATGAAAACTGAATGTTTTGTGTGAAATGGAAGAATATCAGAATATTATTACATACACTCATTGATTGAATCATAATTATACAAACAATCTGAGATATCAGCATCGATAACCGATGGCTGCCATGGCTACTTCAAGAAATCAAGTTCTTCTTGGTGTTCTGGATGAAAAAATTGGAACAACAACAATTTCATTAAATGTAAACAGAGTTGGTGGAAGAGTCAATCTAAATCAGTCAAAGTCGGTTGGTACTGTTGTGCCTAGTTGTGTGTTATGTGGTGATAGCCAAATTTTAGTAACACATCTCTATTGTCCACTAGATGTTTCATCACACCACCGAATACTGTGTGTATTTAGTTGTTCTCGTTCATCTTGTTGGAGTAAGAGCAAAGGTTGGACGGTTTTAAGAATACTGATTTCTGATAAAAACAGTTTGGAAATTGAGAAGTCCACAAATGTTTCGGAAGAAGTTTGGGGGGATGGTGACGAGAATGAATGGGGAGATGGTGACGAAACTGAATGGGGAGATGAGAGCGATATGAATAGTTCTAGAAAAATTGTTGCAGAAGAAAAAGATGTTTCTACTAAACTCAGTCAAATGAAGATCTCAAATAATCACAAGAACATTATTTCATGTAAATATGATAATGCAACTATGGAACATCCATCTAAAATTTATCTTCCTGCATATTATATCAATGTATATGATGAAACTGAATGTGTCAAATTAACACAGAAGACGAAGAAAGGAGAGCAAAATTATTCTCTTTCTTCTGATGAAATGAAACAATATGCTGATTTTGCCAGTGGTAAATGCACATTGAATCCTGAAAGTTATGAGCGTACTGAGCAAAATGATAAACTATTTTACAAATTCTGGAAAACTAATCAAATCTGCCCTGAGCAGATTATTCGTTACTGCCATGGTGGAACGCCATTGCATGCGAAAAAATCAAATGATAAAATACCCATTTGTCCTGACTGTGGATCTCTCCGGGTGTATGAAATGCAATTAATGCCAGCCCTTTTACCATGTTTACAGACAGACAGCTTCTCCCTAGAGTTTTCTACTGTCCTTGTATATACATGTTCAAAAAACTGTTCAAATGATGGTGATTTGAGTGTTAAAAAAGAATACTTAATTTATCAAGATGATCCAGATTTATCTTATTTTAAGGGTCAAAAACAATGCACAAGTTAACACAATATATATTAGAACTTAAGCAGTTTTCGCATCGCGTTCCTTTCGGTTGCCAAGTCATCAACCATTGAGCTGCAACAATACTTTGCTAGAATTTTAATTGCGGATATTTACACCTCATAGGTCATAATTAGCAGAGTTTGGTACATCAGATTGTGAACCTTTGCATGTGGCATTATTTGGTTTTCACATTACATAATGTAATAATTCCGGTACTTCGGAAAAAAATTGAAACTTGGGGTGGATTTATTTCTTTAGTTGAAATCAATGCAGCTTCTACATTTGCATAAATTTATTTATAATTAAAATCATCAATATTAATTTTGTTCATCTACATTTGTATGTCTATTAAAAACCAGTTGCTATGGCATTATTGGGATTTGCATTCAACTTAGAATTATGTTATTAAACCGATTGACTTTTTTGTTTTCTGCAGAACATTTAATTTTTAATGTATTATGTAGAATGAGAATGGCTCTCTGTGCTGTATTAAAATCATTTACTAGTTCCAAGGTAATTCTGCCATTTACAATTATAAAGCGATACAGGTATTATTGGGAAGCAAGGCCTGAAAACAAATGGAGAAAAAAGATGATGATGATCACTTTACCTCGTTTTGGACGTTCTGATTATGAACCTGAAGAACAGCATAAAGAGGACGATAGACTTCATGGACTCGATGTTGTTTTACATCAAGAAGCCACAGAAGCAATGAACAAGAGCAAAATGATAGTAGTATTTTTACAAGCTCAAATGGAAATAACTGAATTTTACCGAATGCGTCATGAACTGAAGAAAATTAATATTTTTCTTGATGAATTTCCAAATCATGTAATGCAACATGTCCTAAAGAACACTCGCTTAGAAAACCTTCTTAGTTTGTATCAAGGTCGAACTTTAACGGTTTATTCGGAGGGTACAAACATAATAGACCTTTTAAAAATATCCAATAAGAATCCTTATGTGGCTTTGCTAGGTGGGATCATTGATGACCATGCAATGAGTGCTAGGCAAATGATAGACTACAGCAAATTACCACCAATTGACAACTTACATAGTCAATTGTCTTTCATTTTAACGAGTCATTCTTCATCCACACATAATTTATTGCAACGAAATCAAACAGAAACTGCTAGTTTATTGTCCCAGTATATTCAAGATGAGAAAACTGACACCCAAGTTTGATTAATCATTTTTTTCAGAATTATTACTTTTCTCAACAAAGGATTAATAGAATTTGTTTAATATCCAATTGGCTACCTACAGCAACATTCTGAAATTTTATATAGTGCTATCACTGTCAAATTTTAAGTATAACTTTGGTTTGAGTGTGATGACCTTCTGGAACTTAATCATATAGAAAGCATTGATGAAATATGTGACTTGTATTTGGTGTTTTAAATTCAAATGTTGTTAACCAAATCTGCAGGATATCTTATCAGAGTAATTGTCAACTGTTATATTTAAGAGACACATGAAAAAAATGACTGGCTGCTAATTCATTGTATTTTTTTTGCATTTTTAGATTTCAAAATATCATGGATGAACGATTTGAAATAGTAAAACGTGATCATCGATTTCGCCCCATACGACAAAAACAACGTAAAATTCAGATTGATAATCGTTTTCATGGGGTGTTTACTAAAAAGAGCTTTCGGGAACATTTCACTGTTGACAAACGAGGTCGACCAATCAAAGAAAGCACATCAAAAAATTTGAGAAAATTTTATCATCTATCGAAAGCGGAAAGAAAACGAATTCATAAAGAACGAATAAAAACTCGTGCGGCACTAAAAAAACAACTGGGTGGACATGAATTTCAGAATGAACATGACATTGAGCAAAAAGGTGAAGATCATAAAGTGCCAGCCAGTAAAGACAGAATAAATGATTCTGATAGCGATTCTAGTTATTTTAGCTCGGAGGATGAAGATTCTGACATTGATCTTGCAAGAGGTAAAGGGAATGTTGAATCAAGCTCAGATGAAGAAAATGAAGTTGATCAGGCATTGAATAATAGTAATATTCTTGATCATGACTGGGGAGAGATGGACAATATGGCGCCGAGATCAGAGGAAACGAGTAACAGACTTGCTTTGTGTGGTATGGACTGGGACAGAGTCCATGCAGCGGATTTGTTTGTATTACTAGATTCATTCAAGCCTTCTGGTGGATCTATCAAAAGCATCACTATTTATCCATCTGAATATGGATCAAAGAGAATTGCAGAGGAAGAAAAAATGGGACCCGCAGAATTAAAAGAAATGAAACAGGATGAGTTAGAGGAAGAATGGCACAAAGAAGAAGGTGAACAATTTAACATGGAGAAATTGAGACAGTATCAACTAAACAGATTGAAATATTATTATGCAGTCATTGAATGTGATTCCATGGCTACTGCAGAGAAAATTTATCAAGAATGTGATGGTACTGAATTTGAGACAAGTTGTTCTAAAATTGATTTAAGATTTATTCCTGATGGAATGGAGTTTAACGATTTTCCGCCAAAAGAAACTGCAGCTTCTATGCCAGATTTGGCTAAATACAAACCAATATCTTTCATAACTGCTGCCCTCAATCAAACCAAAGTTAACTTGACTTGGGATGAAACTGATCATAAAAGAACTGCTTTGACAAAGGGGAAGTTTACAAAAGATGAGTTAGAAAATATGGATGTTCGCGACTTTTTGGCATCGAGTAGTAGCGACTCTGAAGGTGGTGACGAATCTCAATCTATGAATAGGAGTAATTCAAATATGAATAGTAACTCGCTTCAGCGGAGGGGTGATATGGAAGACAAGGAGCGTATGGAAATGTATCGAAAACTGCTTCTTGGATCTGAAGATGAAAAAGATGACATTGATATGGAAGTTACCTGGGAACCTGACCTGATACCAACTGTCAAACAAGATTTGTTGAAAGAGAAACAAAAGAAAGAAAAACCTATTTCAATAGACAATGGTGAAGAAACTAGTAAGGCAGAATTAGAAATGATTATGTTGGGAGATGAAGAAACAAATCCTGAATTTGAAATTGATGTTAATGATGAAAGATTTTCTGCTGTGTACCAAAAATCAAACTTTGCAATAGATAGATCAAGTTCTATGTATCGTAAAACTGATGCGATGGAAAAACTAATTCAAGAAAGACAATCAAGAGTTGAAAGCAGTAGTAATACTGACTGTGTGAAGGCCCCTGATAGAGTTGAATCAAATGATGTTGATGCACTTCTTAACTCTGTCAAATCTAAGTCTGCGCTATTTGGTAAGAAAATAAAAAATTCAAATAAATCCTAAAATTGACACTTTCTGTAGTTGTATGGGGGTTTCTCTTGTTTCCTCCCTACATTCCCTGTTACATTGGGATGACCTTTTGTATTCCGGACGGTAAATATTAGATGAGCAATTTCATAACGGGTCATAATTAAATGCTAATTTGTTGTTTCTGGGATGTCGGAAAGTGTTTCAGAATGGTCCGCCCTGGAGCGGCGTTTTTAGGACTCTGTAGTGAAAGTCTATCCCCGTTCCATGATTGATCAGAGCATTCGCGCAATCACGCCTATGCACGTTACGGTCGGACAACGAGTTTGTTTTTGCTTGTCGGTCAAGAGCCTTTTGGGTTCACAAATAACATCAGTTAAAAGAGTGCATCTGGATAGGTAGATGAAAACGGTGGAAGAGTGCGTTTCGTTACGCAACCTACTCTCTTGTATATGCGTACATTTTTTGCCCAGAAGTCTGTTAATGGCATGGCTTCGAAGTCGTCTTTTGTAGATGAATCGAACTTCATATCCAAAAATTCCTCTTCGTCGAGACGAAATGGATCTCTTGTTAGTCTCCATTCCGGAAGTTCTGTGTTGTTCAAGTTTGAAAAATAGTGTCCAAATTCTTGTATCAAAAGTCGAAGTTGGGGGACAATATCGCCGTCCAGTTTGATTTGAAGGACAGTGTCGAATTGGAAAATGTTGCCGCGTTTCCTTTTGAGCTCGACGATACTATAATTCAAGCTTCGCTATGAAAGTACGAATGTGATCGTAGTCAGTTATACGGTTATTTTTTTTTTACAATGTAAAAGAAATTTTAATTCAAAAATTTCCACAATTAATCTGATCTAAATGACAGTAGGAGATCGTGTTTTCTTTCGGCTTCAAGAAATAGCATAGGCTCATTTCTGCAGATTCTCGTAATTACAATCCATCTCCTTACAGAACTTGGCAAACACTTGTATTGACGGCACTTGTTTTAATGAAGTTGACGGTTCTTATTATTATCGCAAGCTTATCTTTCATCGCAGTAGATAGGGTCTTGAAAGCCATAGCCCGTGGATGGATTACATAGTGCGATATCCAATACCGTCGTAGTTTTTCTCTGGCGATGATTTCACTTCGAGATCTTAGTGTTGCCGCGCACCATTAGTGCAGACACCTACAAGTTTCTCCCATTTTAATTTATTTTTTCAAAAAAAAAATGCAGCGACAAGCTGCACATCTTCAGATTTAAAAGTCGTCTCGGGAGGTTTGCAAAGCAACATATCTTCTTCAATCGAAGTTGATCTTATAAAACGATGCCTCGATGACTTTGAAATAAATGGTTTTATCAGCGTTTTTCCTACGTTAGGTGTTTTTTTCGCTTCGCAATCATATTAGCAATTTCAAAGAAGCTTCTACTATCTACAGGAGGCGACTAAAAAAAGGAATTCATACTGCAACTCTCTTCTTTTCAAGAATGTTTTTTGCTTTAAAAAGGCCACATGCATTCTGATGGGCAGGGTACTTTTTTTTTAAGATGGCGCTGTAAGCGTCACTGCTCGGATTTTCAAAATATAAAACACATTGCGGTACAACTTCGCCATTCATTGTCGTATGTATAAAGCCATACCTAAGATAATCGCCATTATACTTTGTTCCGCTCATTTTGCAATACCTGGTAAAGTCTAACTACATTTTAACTAAAACTAGACGCAGTGCTTTTCGCACTCAAATGTATTTTCTACTTAAACGTTTACATAACACACGTGAAATCTCTATCAATTGTTGACTATTAAAAATATAGTTATTTTCAACGGACTTCTTGGCTTGCTTAATTAACGTTTTCAAGATTCACTACCAATACCTTCTGACGTGCTTACACACTGGACAAGTGCAATATTAATATTATGTACATTTTATAAAGAAAAGCAGTTAATTTTCTAATAGTTATTATTATGCATGTGGACGTTTCCCCGACCCATGACCATTGAAAAATTCTCCCTGTACTTTACCATTGCAAATTTTTGAACACATACTTTAAGATAGTTTTGGAGAGTTAGTGCTTAACCACTGGCTCGCATGTTTAAAACTATCATTTCCATTCAAAACATTAAATCATGTGCCGCCTACAGGTACTGATAGATAATTTTAGACTAGTTTATCTCAGCGTTTGCGGTATCAATTTTTAATTATTGCAACTAAACTAAATGTCCTCGAAAAACATAATGACAATTGAGTTATTTGGTTTACTACTGTTTTCTTAAAACACAAAAAACCACGAAAATATGGCAATGTTTACAACCATTCTAGAATATTTGTCTGAGCGACTGCACAAATTGTAATTGTTACGCCATTATTGACTTATTGCTGATTGGTCGTTGTTACGGCAATAAACAAGGAGTCAATCGATGCTGGGGGAAACACCCTGCTTGTTTGCGCCTATATTACTTTCTCTCAAAATGCGGAAATGACACGAAAGTCAAAAGCGTGGTGTAGACGTGTATTTTCGCATCTTCTGAAAAATTTAACTTTGGTTACGGGTTCATGTTAATGTACGCTAAATATATTATTGATTCTCGAATATATTCCATATTGAGCCATGGGTTGAAAGAAACCATTATATCACACAAAATATAACGCATCTCTAAGTCTCTAAGCACTTATTGTATCAAACACTGTCGAATTGTGCCCTGTAGAGCATGTCCCACTGAACCCCGGTCCATTGTTCCCCATAGGAAACAAATACTTTCAGACCATCCCACGGCAAAATTCGGAAGGCACAGCCAATCGCTAACGTTAGGAATATTTTACAGTGGACTGACGCTAAAGAATATCAGACGATGGTTTGTCTCGTTGGAAAGGCTAAACTAAAAAAAAGAAAAACCTGAACGGTGAAATTTTTTTTTCAACCTCCCAAAACCAATTTCACCCCATAGCTTGCGCCGCTCTACCCGTCCGTTGTCCGTTCGCGGGGACGTTGTAACTCACCGAAGGGCGGATTGGAACATCGAGCCGCGGACAGGATTGCGGATATAGTATCAGAGTGATAGCTGATTTTCCACTATAGTAATAATATTAGGCTAATTTATTTTTATCATGTAGTCCTATGTTATGTTTATGGTATTGTTGAAAAACTCATGGCTGTTTGCTAGACTGGTAATGAACTACGTCATCGTTTTGCTATTCTTCGGAGCATGGAAAAGCAGGTCCTGTCTGCTATTCACGTGTATTTTTAAAGGATTTTATAAACACAAACAAGCAGGGAGATGTCATTGGCCATTTCAATCCTGACCGAACTCACGCATTTATTTTGAGAAATATCGGGGTACCAGGGATGCCTGAGTTCGTACCGAAAGCATAATATGTTAGCGAACCACTGATACACCAGTCAAATATTGGACGTATACTGCCAAATTTCATATTAACGTGTTCCAGTATAAAATAAAAACAGAATTCCCACCTCACACAAAGGAACATTCCTGCTTCTAAAAACTCTAATTTAGTTCATAATTGAGGGAAAATACCATAACTTTTATTGTGACGAAACGAATCTTCGCTTCGAATTCTTCAATGTTCGATATTCTCAATTATGTGAACAATTGTTTTTACTTTTAAAATAATCATTTCGAATCGAATTATTTTGAAATAATTCAAATGTTCTGGCCAACTATATTATCATACAAATTGGGCAATTCGTAGAAAGATCAATTACAAATTAAGCTCATTATAATTTCGATTCAGCCTTTACTCACAATAATTCTAATTTTGTTTTGCAATACATCCCGATAATCAAGATGTAGGCTACTTCCATCTGGTCCGGATCATGCCTTCCAGAAGACTTAATTAAGCACTTCAGACTTTGGTGCCCTATACCAGGGGTGGCCAACACGATCGAACACAACACGATCGCCACGTCTCGAGCAGTCGATCGCGTCTGATGTTGAGTAAATTTTATTGAAATACCCCCCAAAATTGCCTTGAACCAGTTGTGTGTTTTACAACAGGAAGCATACAGTACTTTACATGCGCAAAATACAATATACACAAACAGTATTTGAGTATGGGCAAGCCCGATAAAGCATATTATCACGTAAAAATGCAAGTTTTTCCGCTGCCAAGGTTTAAAAATGAAGTGCCGAATATCGCGGGTCTAGACCAGGCATGTCCAACCTTTTTAGTGTCGCGGGCCACTTTCACATGAGGAAATTCATTGCGGGCCGCAAACGTTTTTATCAAACTTAAACACCAGCCCAGTTCCGATTTACGTTAGAATTTGAGCGTCACTAAATCAAACCCCTGGATTTGATTATGCCCAACAATTATGCGGATTACTGAACACAAAGACCATGAAATTCAACTCAACTTTTACGCAAACTGCCCAACTTTCAAGCAATATTATACTTTGGCATAAAAAATCGAAAGAAAAAAAAAAGTCAGCAATTATTCCTTTCAACTAGTGCAAAACTTGCTTTTGAATGTCATTGCTCAACTGTTTAATATCAACGCATTCAACGGGTAGTTTTGATACCGCACAACGTACTGGCTTGTCAAATTGTCGTTCGTCAACTTATTCCTACGTTTCGTCTTCATAGTTTTCAATTTTGAAAAGAAAGATTCGCACAAATATGTTGTTCCTATTGCCGCCGCAATACGCGTTGCCATTTGTCTGAGGATGGGAAACTTATCTTCGTCGACATACTCACTGTAGAATTCAAGTTTTCTATCTCTTTCAGTTCCGTACTCGACTGGACATCGATCAATTCAAGTTGCATATATATTCTCGCGTCTCTTCTACCCGAATGGCAAATGGACACATAAAAATTTTAAAGAGACTGTCGAATTTTTGCAAGTAGGCGAATCTCTCTTTGAATGCTTTCAACAACTTTGCGACTTCGTGGCAATATTCACAGAAATCCCTATTGTTGGTATGCGAATTTCTCTTCAAATGCTTTCAACAACTTTGCGACTTCGTTGCAATATTTACAGAAATCCTTATTAATGCTGTCGAAGCTATTTAGTAAAGGAAAATGAACTGCTTTCTTCAATTCAAA